AAGCAGCAGCGTATTGCTTCTCGCAACGAGTGGATGGCCTCCACTCGGCCACTACTGTTGTGATCCACAGCAGTGAATTAAAATGTGACTGCACTTTTTAAGCTGACTAATAAAATTCATGTAAAATTTTATTACGTAACGTTATTGCGAAATGCATGCAATTATATTTTTGATCAAATTATTTTGCATATTAATTTAATCGAATACAAACATCAAGGTTTTTAAGGAGTGTCATGAATTGGTGCACTTCAAAAGTCGTGACCATAAAGCACAAAACATTTAATTTCAATTCAAATCTGAAATGTAGTCCAATCATGTTCAATGATTGGATTACTTTTCATAAAAAAAATGGTGGTGGGTTGCTGGTGTAAACCCCCCTCCTGAATCCAGTTGCGCTAGCTATCCTCATCACGTGAATGGGGGACCCCCAAAAATCACATAAATCGCATATTTATGTTTCATATGTGCTGTCGTTGTGTCCCAGCATATGTTGTACTTGTGTCAACTTGTCACAGATGTGCCAACCAAAAACCAGGAACACAAATCGACTAATTCAAAGTGGTCAACCACTTGCACACGATATTTGGTCCTGCTTGCTGCAGTGGTGATGAGATCCTCGCCTCTTGGGTTTCTCAGGGCTCGCCAAAGGCATCGCCAACGTACGATACACCGCAACCAGCTTCTCCTGGCTCTCATGTTACGCCTGCGTATGCAAATACGGACTCGCAATAAGGTCTCAAGGCACAAATGCACATTATTATTGTTCTCACACACACACTACTCTAGATTCTATCGACTGCACTCGTCACACCGAGTGAGATACCATGGCACTTAATGTACATGAGTAAATGCGATCGCAGCTTCATGGCGACAACTAGTCTTGATGTTTTATCTCATCACCACTGCAGCAAGCAGGACCAAATATCGTGTGCAAGTGGTCAAACCCACTTTGAATTAGTCGATTTGTGTTCCTGGTTTTTGGTTGGCACATCTGTGACAAGTTGACACAAGTACAACATATGCTGGGACACAACGACAGCACATATGAAACATAAATATGCGATTTATGTGATTTTTGGGGGTCCCCCATTCACGTGATGAGGATAGCTAGCGCAACTGGATTCAGGAGGGGGGTTTACACCAGCAACCCACCACCATTTTTTTTATGAAAAGTAATCCAATCATTGAACATGATTGGACTACATTTCAGATTTGAATTGAAATTAAATGTTTTGTGCTTTATGGTCACGACTTTTGAAGTGCACCAATTCATGACACTCCTTAAAAACCTTGATGTTTGTATTCGATTAAATTAATATGCAAAATAATTTGATCAAAAATATAATTGCATGCATTTCGCAATAACGTTACGTAATAAAATTTTACATGAATTTTATTAGTCAGCTTAAAAAGTGCAGTCACATTTTAATTCACTGCTGTGGATCACAACAGTAGTGGCCGAGTGGAGGCCATCCACTCGTTGCGAGAAGCAATACGCTGCTGCTTCCTTGTCTATGGTAGCGATGGCTCTAAAGTGAGTACTTCCATGTATCACGTAGCCATGCACAACTGCCGTGACGATCTAGTTGACATTCTATTTAAATACTTGTATTTTTATGTTTGAGATTGAAAAAAACTGACCAGACTTCAACATTTAGACGTGTAATAAAATATAGCGGCGAATATTATCATATCAAATCATACAAGGCCAACACGAAATATCGAGATGCTATTGGCTAAAAGTCAGACAGTCTCATCATATGGTACCATGTCAACAATTGTCCTATATTTGCCCCTTTACGAAACACTTTACAAAACACAAAATACTGGAGAAATCGATACCTTTGCAATGATAAAGATTGGGAGTTTTAGTACTTTCAACTTTTGCATCGCGAACGTGGAGCACCAAGGACACCTGATATACTGTACTGGTATTCTTCATATTTAACGATCAATATGAAGTAACCATTCAACCAGCCTGGGTGAGTGGGAAGTTACGAGCTTTGGCTTGGCGCTGGGCAGTGAAATACCCATACGATTTCGTGGGGCTCACACTGGCGGGCTTGTCGTCGTAGAAATCAGCACCCCAAGTGGGCCAGCTATTTCCTTGTCCCCAGGCCGAATTCCGCACGGCGTTGTAGAATGACACGGCTTGATCCACTCCAGCGACGTTGCCCTTGGCCGAAGTGGCGCCGCTGGTGGGGAAGCCGATGTTCATCAGCTGCAGTTTCTCGGCGGGGTAGAGGGCGGCGAGGCTCCTCCACCACTGGTCGATCGCGGTCGCTACCGCCGCTGGAGTGGTCAAATTGTCCGTGTCGTACAGGGATAACGTCACTCCGATCACGTCACAGTCTTGACTGAGGCGCACCATGTCCGCCCGAAGCGCCGGATTCAGCCACTCGGCGGCGCGCTGTACCGTGCCCACCTTGACGTTGGGGATGCGGGCCTTGATGCCCCGGATGGCTGCGATGATGTCGTTGGCGTTGAAGTTGTCACCTCGGTACGCGTTCTCGCTCCCAACCGTCAGTGCCGAAATAGTGCGGGGAAAGTACTTGACTGCACTCACAGCGCTGGCCACTTGGTCGGCGTACCACGTTTCGCGCGTCATGCCAACACCCAGCGTCAGTTTGAGCCCCACGGCGGCGGCAAAGGGGGTCACGTCCACGCCGTAAAAGTTGGAGTATTCGGTGCGAATGGATGAAAACCGTGTTCGAACGAGCTGCAAGTCCAACGAGATGGCGGCGCCGACGTTCTTGAGGTCGTTCGGGTACTCGTCCGCGTGAAATGGGGAGTAGAGCACACCTTGGGGGCCTCGAGGGCCGTTCACAGGTGCAGGGGGCGGTGCAGGGGTGGGTGCAGGAGTTAGGGCAGGAATAGGTGCAGCGGGCGGAGTTGTTTGCAGGAGCAGGGGGTAGTTGGCCACCTTGCGTTGGCGCGTATCAGCAGTCAGGAAACCAAAGTGCTTTTCCAAGTCGGCCGGTTGAGTAGTGTCGTCCGCGCGGAGGTCAAACATGCTGTACCAAAAGGCCTCACCGCCGCCAGCTTTCGGACTCCATCGTTGAAATGCGTTGTAAAAGTTGACTGAATTCTGAAGCGACGGGGTGTTCTTGGGTGCGAAGGACGGCGCCGTGCCTCCAGTGGGATATCCGATCTCGGTCAGTCTGAGTTTGGATGCCGGGTAGAGGGCGAGCATTTGGTTCCAGATCGCGTCTAGGAGGCCCAGCGGGTTGTCGGGGTTGTAGCCCCCGTCAAAGAACGGGTAGATGTTCACCCCGATGATGTCGGAACTAGCTGCCAGCCGCAGCATGTCCCCTCGGATGTTTGGGTTAAGCCACTCGGTTGCACGCTGCACAGTGCCCACGGCAACATTCCGCCCTGTGCCTTGTCGAATGCGAGTTCGAATCGAGTTGATCGATGCGATGATCTCGTCCGCCTTGTACGGCCCACAAGGAATGACGTTTTCATTACCGACCAAGATGGCTTTAATGGTGCTGGGGTAATTCGCGGCGGCCGCTACAGCGTCGTCGAGCTGAGATTGGTACCTAAGATCCCATAATAATATAATAATGAGAGAGGTTTCGCTGGAGGGGGATATATGTGAGTACGTACCACGTCTCTCGGGTCATAAACACCCCCAAGTAGAGACCCACCGAGTACTTGGCAGCATATTTGGCCACTTGATACCCCATGTACGACGAGTAGTAGGTGCGGACGACTGAAAAGTACTGCGCCATGACCCTGAAGTCTTCGTCCATGGCCCCTCCGAGGAGCGCCGACGATCCCCCGTGCAAAGGATATTCCATATTGTGGAACGGCGAATAGCACACTCCTAGTATAAATCTTAGTACAAATATGCGAACCCGTCAGTTGACAATCAAAGTACCTGGAGTGAACTGAGCCATCGCCCCGGATTCAAACTCGAGCGATGGCAGCATGTCTTTCGAGTCACCTGCGTCCGTGACCAGGCCAAAGGACTTGACTTGGGGCATGCCAATGCGCGTGATGGGATCGTCCAGTCTTAAGTCGAAGAAAGCCGCCCAAAACCCAGCGAACGTGGACTGCGCGAACGCCACAAAGTACAGATGTGCGTTTTCTGGGTTCAGTTCTACGCGCACGGGGGGGTTCTCGCTGCCCGTGGGGTGGCCCGTGGCGGTGATGAGCAACTTGTCTTCGGGGTACCGAGAGGCGAGGCTGACCCACGTGCTTTCGAGCAGCGCCAGCGGGTCCAACGTGGAGAAATCGGGGTCCAAGTACGGGTACGTTTCAACGCCAATGATGTCAACTACCGAGGCCAGGGCCGACAGATCAGTGTCCAGGCTCAACCACGCGTCAGCCCGCTGCGAAGTTCCGATGGGAACGACAGACCCCGTGGTCACTTCGACGCGCTTCTTCAAGTCCAGCACCCGGGCCGTGATGTCAGCCGCCGTGGCCTCGCCATACGGACGCACGTTGTCGCTGCCCACGAGAATTGCTTGGATGGTGTCTGGATACGCGAGCACGGCGGCGATGGCTGCGGCCACCTGATCTTCGTACGACTCGGGCGAGTCCTGACCAGAGTTCACGCCGAGGTACAGTCGCAGGTCGTTTTTCTTGGCAATGGGTGCAATGTCCACGCCAAAATAAGTCGCCTGGGCGGTGCGCACGACCCCAAAGTACGGCTTGATGCTGGCGAGGTCTGCGTCGATGGCCTGCGCAATTTGGCCCACGTCGATCGTGGCGGCAGGTTCCAGCGGAAACGACGGGATATGCCGAGGTGAGTAAAACACGCCGGACTGGCCTGCTGCCAACAATGACGTTACTGGGAGTACGGCCCAGTTGAGCACACAGCGAAGCATGGCAAATTGAGCAATGTCATCACATCACATCGCTGCGTGGTGGTGGGATCAGGAGGTGGAAGAAATCAAGGAATTCGATGGGAATTAGCCGGCTATTTTTAGACTGAAATGGCCGTCGGTTGCAGAGATCTGAGACACAAAAGCGAGATGGAAACTGCACAGTCAAGGCGAGATCTTAACGTAATGGGACGTAACAAGACCTTAAACGGATTGGAATATGGTGTACTAACGTCATCGGAAGTATTCAATAGTGTTCCAGAGCTCAAAAGTGTGGTCAGGTCTTTCGGTTTCACTAATGTGCCGAAGGATAGAAATGATGGTCAATTGAATACTCTGGAGTACTACTATGCAATAGCCTATCGAGGCAGAACTAATGATTGCAAATAACCTCACTGCGTCGTCTACGACCTTGTCTACGATACTGAGGTAGTCCGTGGCGAATCTGTTGGTCACGTGGTTCGTCACGGGGCGTCCATCCTTGTCCACCACATCGCACACATCTATTTTACAGTAATTGTCTGAGAAGTCCAGGATGGTGGCATTTCCGCTCACGATGGCAGCTACCACCAGCCCAATCAGAATCTGGTGCTCTTGTGACAACGATGTCTTGGAGAGTGGTCTGATCTTGCACACTTCGTTACCGTTGAATGTTGGACGGGGTTGATCGTGGCCACATACATCTTAATTCCACCGTCGTGCACCCTGCCCACTTCGGCTTGAAACTCTGCCAGCTACGACTTGATATCCCTTGGGCGGAGGTAGTTGCACTTGTCACGGTACAGCGAGAGGCAGCAGCGTGGGGGGCGTCCAGTTCGTCTGTGCTTTTCCCACCTACGTGGATGTACTGTTGCACCTTGGGGCGAGCCCACAAGAACATCTCCATCAGCGCCTTGTACTCTGGCATACACGGAAGGATGGGGGTCTCATCACGATACTTAAAACCCGATTGTGGGAAGTCGGACGCGTTCTTTCGATAATGCAGCAGGTTGAGGAAGCGCGGTTAGGTTTGGCTGGCGTTCAATCGTTCCACCCCCTCACCGTGTTGTACTCGCACGTTCAGCACCACGTCCGTCGCCGTCCAATGGGGTAGTGGGGGGGCATTGGTAAGGGGAGTGTACCCCAGATCCGGCGTCCAGCTGGCAGTCGACCCCTTGCTGGAATTGAGCGCTTCGTCTAATGGCAGTTCAGCTGACTCGACGTGGACTGCGGCGTCGGCTCCGACTTGATCCACCACATTCAAATACGTGGCAGCATACGCGTGCGTGAACTCGTTCGAGCTGAACATCAAGGGGGATTCAGAGGGATCTACGACGTTGCAAGCTCCGTTCCAGCAAAGGTTGTCTGAAAAGTCCACTATGGTCGCGTTGGACTTTGCAATTGCGTCTTCCACAGTACGATCTGCCATAGGTTGGTCGCTCAGAATCCGCTCGCACGGTGAAGTTGCGCACGCTTTTGAGGTCGAACGCACTTCGTTGAGGGCAGATCGTCGTCACAAACACGTTGATGTCGAGGAGGGCGGAAATGTTCGCCTCAAATCGCTCCAAAATGGTGGCTTGAAGATCCCGGTGGCTTTGGTACACACAAGCATCGTCATAGCTCCCACATCACTGGGTCAAGTTGTGCAGGAGATCGCTCTCTTGTCCACCAGGTTGTGAATGCAGCGACCGCATGTTGATATTTCACGGTTAAAAGTTGAGAGGGCCGGTGGAGATGCTGCAACGTACCCAATCTGTGCGAGATTGCATTCGCTCGTTCGTACTAGTACAGTATACTGTAGTACTACTACAAGCCAAGGATTGTGTGTATTCCATGCATTAACTAAATATAATGCGTCCCATTTGCTGCTCACACTACGCCTACTGCACTCTAGTAAGTGCCCATTAGTATGATCTCATAATCTCTTCAGAACTATTGAGCACACTTTCGTCAACTCATCTGGACCTCCATCCAAGGCTCACAGTTCATAACTTTAGAAATTTCCTACACATCTCTTGATAACGTTAGTAAGTACATGAATTCCACGCCTCGTTGAGCGGCCAAAGCCCTTAACAAATTTTGTGGAGACTTGGGCTAAGAGTTTACACTGATTGTTACTTGACCAAAACTGGTGAATTCAGGTTCAGTTTCTCTATCAACCGTGCACGCAATTGCATTAACTGCGGTCCTTAAACATTGGGTTGTGGTGGATCGCTTGATTTCGCTAAAGAAAATCCTTCTTCAACTTGTCTTGGTGTTTGTGTCGCCAAAGTCAATTGAGAGCATCTTCCCTCGCCGTGTACCACTGCGGGAGGAAGCGTGTGTAGTTGAGGGCAAAATGCACAATGAATTAACTGAAGATCTACAAAGATCTCCTTAATCCTCATCACTATGAAATCTTCTTAATCTACTTCACTACTTCTACACTAATATGCACTTTTGTATACAATGGATGGGGGTGCGGTTGAGACATTGGGGAACTTCACTAGGCTAGCGATTCTAAGCCATACTTGCCCTTGAGACACGTTCCCAGGCAAGCATGAGCTAGGGTGCGTTATGAGCCAGGTACTTAGGAGCTGGGTGCGGGCAAAGTGGTGGCAAGCCGTTAACCCACCTGTCACATCGCTACACGCCGGTCGACATGCGTGGAGCTTTCGAGCAGGACTTGGGCAGCACTGGTGAACATGTTCATACTGGAGTGTCGTACTGAGCGAGCGGAAGGTGCTGTTGGCCTCGACAGCTGCAGCCAAAAGACCCACACAGCTGCAGTCATCAAAACGAGCCCAAAGCCAGAACTTCAAGGCGGGATGGACCGAGGACTGAAATGCAGGGCTGCCACGAATTGTCTGAAAAGTAGTCCCCACTCAAGTCAAGGCTTGTGACTAGGGAGTTAGTAGGGCTTGCAAGAGGCATTCTAGGCCACGGTTATCCTTATCGCCAGGGTTGTGGAGCGTCAACTGGGA